GGACTGCGTATAAACGTAGGGTATGCCGAACATGAGCACCGCGCGACCATAATGATGATCGAAATCCACACCCTCGGAGACCTTGCCACGCGCCACAGCCAGCAGAACAGCACCTCGACCGCAATCGCATGCCTAAAACAAAGACAGCATAGATCGAGATCGAGATCGAGATGAATGTGTGTCAAGAACATCATCAATGGAAGCCATAGCAATTGGAGACTGCGATTCAGATTGCGGGCTGAAATTTGAGGTCGCTCACCTTAACATAGTTCATGAGCGCATAGCTTGTTTCGGCATTGTCCTGGGTCTCGATGAACAGCAGCTTATAGCGGAGTAGAGTATCCACAATGCCCTGGTCATACCACGAGGCCACAACCGACTCCAAGTACAGATATGATGTGAAGAAGCAAACGATGCCATCGGGCACAGTCTTGGCCACCTCCACCAGCAGCTGGCCATAGTTCCTGATGACAGCAGTGTCCTCGCGCGTCTCGAACTTGGACGAGATGGCCACCTGGTCGTTGCCTTTTGACACGATCTATATCAAATAAAATATCTAAATAAATTAATAAACAAATCTAAGCCTAATTCAAACTGCTTCATTTACCATAGGCAGCAGACAAGGACGAGCAAGGGTCATGGTAAAGCTACTCATAACAACTGGATCAAAGTCCAGAATCTTAGGATACATGTCCATGGGCGACAGCGTGCCCGATGTGATGACAACCGTTTGAAATCGTGAGAATACTGGCGCCATGGCAATAGATGAGTCCAAGCAGCTGAAATGCATTATGGGATTCGAAACAGTCGGCGTCTTGTCATCGAACGGCTCAATGATAATGGTAAATCCTTTCGTGTACGTGGAGACCAAGGTGGCAAAGTGTGTTATCTGTGATCAATTGCATTGAATCGTTATCATCATCAATGATATGCACCATTACATACCAGCGTCAGGGCCCCGAATTCCGTCATATCAGTAATCTCCAGGGTACGCAACAAGCTGGACAAGCGCTCCGCACAGAAGCGCAACGGTTTGCGCTCTATGCAGATTTTAGATGAAACATCTTTAAGGAATCCCGCTGGTGATTCCTGCACCACGTGATGCACACGCAGTCGAGTTTTAATGTATTCTATGAAACGACGTAGGAAACTAAGAAAATGATCCGCATTTCGAATGTTGCCCGGGACGACCTCTGTGAGCACATCGTTAGGCAGCACGGGATTGGCCAGAATCATGTCCGTATCACGCTGTACACTGGCATCCTTGAGGCCTTGCACCATGCGCTGATATTCCTCATTTAAACGATTGGTGTCCTCTTCCCGCATTCTGCAATAGACAATTAATTAGGCATGTTTAATTATTTGAGCAATTATGGAGTAGGTCTTACTCTTGGACCAATTTTGTGAGCTGATTTAAAGCGTTGGTACTGCGCTCGACTGTTCTTCGATTTATTTTCACGCTCATGGAGTCGATGCATACGTTGTCTATATTATGAGCCTCATCGAAAACCACACAGGACTCGCGTGTCATTTCCTTGGAGACCACCTGGGCGATCTTTGGATCCAGTAGATAATGATAGCTGTAGACAACAATGTGGGCGTGTGCAATCTACCAGAGAAATGGATAGAGAGTGGAGGGCGTAAGTATTTATATCATATACTAATAAATTAACATTCTTAACGCACAGCGTAACGTGCTAGAAAGTACGGACACCAATTTCTTGACCGTCCATATTCTTTAAGATCATCGATGCTATAGACGCCCACGGGCAGCGTCGACTCCTTGCCCTCCAATGTGAAGCCCTCAAAATACTGACCTATAAGAACAATAAATGTTAAATTGACTTAACTGCAATGGCAAATACTTACATATGGGAACCTCGGGATCCAGTTCATGGCGTTCGCGTATATAACTGGCAGTTAGCCCATAGCACTTGCCATCGACCGCCTTGCCCTCGCGCTCTTTACTGACCTCGGGATGAATGCACAAATTTTTACGTGAGCTGAGCACCAGGCCGGTAAAGCCTGGAGCTACGGGTGCATTGCGCTCATAGTATGCCATTAGGTTCTGCAACTCGGCAATAACTTTCTCAATCTCCGGCACCGTTCGGGAGCAGTAAATCAGCTTGCGCACTGTCTCCGGATGCTCAATCATATAGGCCACTACCAGGGAGAGTAATGTTGCTGTTTTTCCTGTGCCCGAGGGCATTTCAAGTAGACAGTGCCCCTTGGCGTCCAGACTTCTCTTAAGCTCCAGCATGTATGCATATTGCTCAGGATAAATATATTCATAGGGGAAATAAACGAGCAGTCCGTCAACACTGAGCCTGAGAGAAGAAGTAGCCGACGATTAATTAAATCGAAAGCAATTCTTGTACATTATATATTAATCTTACTTCATTGTGCTCCTGTGTGTCTTTAGAGTGTTATACTTGAGCTCAGTGCACAATATTTTTTCAAAATTACGTTATTTCGAGTAATTCTGCAATTGTTTAGTTTTGGCTACTGCGGCGACGAACATGCCGGCAACTATCGATTGCTATCGATTGCATGGATAATAATATAAGAATTGTGCGTGCTTTTACCGTGTCATGTACGCTGTTCATCATTTCAAAGAATGGTAACCCATAAACATATTTTAATAAAAAATCAATTTAACATTTTTATTTATTAAAAGTTCTTCAGTTCTTGAGTCACCTATATCATATTAAGTGTCTCGCAGTTTTAAAAAATAAATATTAAGTGTCTTACACATTTCAAACATGCAAGCAAAATAACCAGTTGCTGAGCTAAGCAAAATATGTTCTGGTATCAGCATACCAGGCGCAAAAAGTTTTCAGTAGTAGTAGTTCTATTGCATTTAAGCTAAAGTATATGTGTTTTTAAGGGTTTATTTTTTAATTATTTAATTGTAAAAGTGCTTTATACTAGCATTTAAAAAAATCAACGAATTTTCGCCATATGGACGACCTCAATCCCTTGGCTGGAACAGCGCATCTGCTGGAAGAAGTTGATAGTATTTACTGAACACTTAAGCCGGCAAACTGTAATATGAATAATAATATATTGTGAACTTGTAGAAAAACTAATGGTGCTGCTTCGAGACGGTCGAACATTAATAGGCTACTTAAGGTCCGTAGATCAGTTTGCCAACCTTGTTCTGCAGCGAACAATCGAACGGATACACGTCGGCAATGAGTATGGAGATATTCCGCGAGGCGTCTTCATAATACGAGGCGAGAATGTGGTGCTCCTGGGTGAAATTGTGAGTAAAGAGAGCAAGACTTGATCGGGTGACCTAATATATATAACGTCACATTGCAGGATCGTGAAAAGGAACAGAAACTTCCATTAAAAGAGATTTCTGTCGATGAGATTCTGGATGCACAGCGACGTGAGCAGGAGCAACGACAGGAGAAGCATCGACTCGTCTCGAAAGCACTTAAAGAGCGTGGTTTAGCGGTCAATGCGGATATAATCAATGAGGATTTCTGCTGAGCGCCGTGAGCGCATTATAACAAATACATATTTAGAATTAGGCGTAAGATAAAATTGATTTTTGTCAGTTGTATATTTGTACTCCATAAAAATCTATTTAAAAACTATATGTACATATATGTCGCTATGTAGTATTCCTGCTTAATCATTCTGACTTGTCCCAGGTGTCCCTGTCGTGGACTCCTCCAGCAATATGTACTTCTCCAGAATCTGGTACATTTCCACTTTTGCCTTAATCTTGTGACGACGCGACAATTGCCGCAAATAAGCTGCCACGGATTTGCAGAAGTAATCGTCTTCGGTTTCGTTGGACGCACTAGTCGCGGCAGTGGCTGGTGCACTTACTGCCTCAAAGCCGGGCGATGCCTCGGGCTTAATGGGCGGCAAATGCTCCGCTTCAACTCTCATGTTCGGCATACAGACCATAAATTCAATGTCCGTCTGCGAATGTCCAGCATCGGACGGCGAGGCACCCGACGTGGACACATTCCCCGCCGTCGGTGTATCGTTGTGGACTGTGACCAGCGATGGCGATGGTTGCAACGGTGGCAAGACTTTTTGATCGGCCGACTCGGAATCGCCCATATACTCCTCATATGATTCATGTCCATCTCCATCGTCCGCTTCCACGAGCACAGAGTAACTTTCCGATTGTGTCGTCTGCACTTCCAGCTTGGCATCCGCGTCGTAGTTGTGGTCACAATCGTCGTACACCTGCGACTCATCTAAGTCCTGTTCAATAAGTGGGTCTGGCACTGGGCGTGATTTCGTTTTCACCGTTCGGACCTCAGCTTTGAGCCAATTTGTTGGCGTATCATCATCTTCACGGCGTCTTCTCTCACGACGCTTCCGCACAAACTCCCGCAAAAAGTCCATTTGCCTGAAGAACTCATTTCGACCAAATTCCGAGGACGGATGCAAACGCATTTGTTTCAACTCGCGCGAATAACGATCCCGTAGACACGTCCATCTGCGTCGCGCGTCGGGCGATGAAATATTTAGGGTCTTGGCCACTTTGGCCCAATCCTCTTCCTTTCTTTGTGATAGGCGAAAGTCGCCATGTCTGTGGTCGTACAACGATGGTGTTGAACGTATCGTGCGTATTAGCATAACATCTGACTCGTCAAGTGGCCTATGATGGGCGCTCATTATTTGTTAATTGCTATTCACCATTAATTTTATTCAATTTGCAGCAGCTTATGTTTTCGTTTTGCTTTCTTTCCAGTGTGACCATTGCGGGTATCAGCATTAATGCGTGGTATACCCGTCATATTGCTCCATTCTTATCAGTCCGGCAACGCCAAGGTCTTGCAATTAAGAGCGGAATTTTTTAATAATATCATCAGCCTATTACAAATCAATGATCATGTGTATATAGTATCATCCCATAGTAAAAAATTGTAGTTATGTTTATGTATTCGATAAGCAATCTAAGTAATCATTCGATTGTTTTCCTTGATGAATCAATGTATCAAATTATGTATGTTTTGTATCGATGAGCTGATATACGAAATAAGCATCCCTACTATCGGCAGCCATTTTTTCACGCTTTCTTGCGAAAAAATTGTGAAAATTCAAGTAAAAAGTTGTTAAACTGGCAAGAAAATAATTTATAAAGATCACATATACTGAAATAGTATGCGAATTTGAATATTGTGCGTGCGTGTAGTGTGTGAGCATTGAAATAATCATGGAGACGGTCGTCGCTTTCAATAATGAGGTAAGATGAGGCCGCCGCAGCACACACACATGTACATATCAAAATGTACTTACATATTTATATCTGCTCATATATACCACTCGGTATTTACATATATGTCTCATGTACGTACGCCTTATGTAGTTGTGTAATTTATACAATTATATTCCCGACACTTACATGTGTGTATATATGTAAATTAAATATTGTTGCCAACAAACATGCAGCTTCGCGTCCTGCCGTGCTGCCCATACCAATAGAAAATAATCCCTTTTCGCTCTTTGTGCCTTGTGCTCGACCATCTATTTCTACATGTGTATGTTTTCTTTCAGCTCTCCGGGCTCTATGATAGCCGACCGCCCATATCGAAGGCTAAAATGGCCGCCATCACAAAGTCGGCAATGCGTGCAATTAAATTCTACAAGCATGTTGTGCAGAGTGTTGAAAAGTTTATACTCAAATGCAAGCCGGAGTACAAAGTGCCGGGCCTGTATGTCATAGACTCAATAGTGCGACAATCGCGTCATCAATATGGCACCGAGAAGGATGTCTTTGCGCCCCGCTTCCAGCGTAATCTAACCGAAACGTTTGCAAATCTGTTTCGTTGCGCGCCCGAGGACAAGAGTCGCATCATTCGCGTGCTGAACCTTTGGCAGAAGAATAATGTGTTCAAATCGGAAGTAATACAGCCAATATTTGATTTGGCTGATCCAAACCATCCGATTTACCATCAAATGCCACCAATCAGCGCCGGCAATCTCAACGCGAGCTCTGGACCAAGTGGCAGCAGCGGTGTTCTAAATCTTTCGGATATTTCCAGTGGCAATGCTGCCAATGGTTTGAATGCCTCGGGAATGAGCAATATGGATATGAGTGGTGCTGTCGACGATAAAATGGGTGGTGCAATGCCGGATCTGTCGGTGAGTGGACAATGGGTAATTGAAGAGAACAAAGACTGGCAATGAATTAGGTCCAATAACAATATGATGTAGTAGTTAGTCAACCCACTATGGGCAGCTATACTCATTGCCAGGCTATGAGCGAGTAAATGTGGTTTTTCTTTCGATTCTAATAAGCCAATTGGCATTGCTTCCTTGTTACTATCACTATTTGCTCTATTTCTGATACATGTCTCGCTCGCTTGTCTAATGTACGCAACTACACAGATAAGCCACGAGAAGTGCTCAAGCTCTAGTCGACGTCACATGGAACAGCATTATATGAAGCGTCAACAACAGCAGCAGCAGCATCAACATAATATGCCATCCAGCAATTCGGCATCTGGTTCCAAGAGTCGTTTCGATAGTGGGGGACTAAGCAAGTCGCATCATCACAACAAATATGGCAAGGGTAGCAGCTCCCATGAGCTGGACTATGACCTGCGTGAGATAATCGATGACGAGGATGGGGACATGCTGATGGGCGACGATCATCATTGTATGGGCGATGATACGCCGCCCGGCTCTTCCAATTTGCTAGATGTATGCATAGGTCTATTCGTTATTTATCGTATTAGCTTTTGTGTTGAGGCTTTAGTTTTCTTGGGTTTATTTATTTATTGTTCACAATTATTTAAATGCATGCTAATAATAGCATCTAATTTCGCAGAACAATAATTTAAAGCAACTGCTCAACGATCCCAATGTCTTACGCCAACTGCAAACGCTGCAAAACTTTCAAAAGTTCAAGCAACAAGAGGAGAATCAAAAGCATCGCTACCAGGAGCAGGATGCCCTGCAGCAGCATTTGCAGAATGTTCTCAAGGTAAGTGCGCTCATTTACTCATCATAATCTCTGGTACTAGGGAATTTTCCTTTCTGCTCATTTTAGGGCACAGGTGGCTTGCCGCCGGGCGTCGGCATGGGCATGGGCCACAATGATGTGACGGACATGAACAAGGATGTTGAATTCATATCGGAACAGCAACCCATTGAGGTATACACCACACCATTTACTTTTAATAATGTAGATTTCATCGAATCAGTCAATGTGTGCATTTTTAATTGATTGCTAAATTGCAAAAATCAATTCAAACTGCATTACATAACTGCAATATTGTAGCTCATAATTAGATTACAATATATAGTATATATATATATATATAACTATAAGCGCACACATGAAAGTGGAACTAGTGTCGCATCTATTTCAAACTATATCCAACTATATATAGTTCCACTTTCATAATGCGCCAAGTGCTGCTGACGTGCCCAAAATGTTGTTATACCGGGACGGAGAATTCAGAGATTACCGTTTAATCGAAAGAATGGGGAATACTATTATTAATTACGATGATATGAATAACGACTTGATGTGCCTTACTGTTAAGTGCAATAACCGTTGTCGAATTTTAAAATTTTTGGCCAAAACTTAAAAATAACTATCGATAGGGCCATACTTAAATTTAAACTTGCAACTTTGCCTATACGTTTATATTAAAAATGGTAAATGAATGCCCAAAGGTAAGGTTTAACTTTATATATAATGACGGATGCGATACCCGATGCTAGAAGCGCCCCCGCCCTCCGTATAACAACGTTTGGTAAGTGCCTTAAATATGTAAACCACAAATTCAAGTCAGATTCAATTCAATTACCCATCAATGAAACACAAAAACTTGCTCGAAAACGCATCGATGAGAAAATGCCAATGAAAAACAAAAATGAGAAATGAGAAATAGTTAAGAACCGCCAACCAAGTTTGAAAAACGGCCAAAACCACACGTCAACACGCCAAGAATGCAGTTATAAAAAAAATAATACGTATTTTGTATAATTTGTAGTTTAACAACAATTCCCAACCCACAACCACTACCATCTTCTACTCCTATCCCATCCCATCCTAGAAAATAATTAAAATGAAACTAACCACGTCCCTCTCCCATTCCCACTTCTTTTCCTCCACATCCGCCATTATTTGTTTTATGCTTAAAATGTTAACGTGTTTATATCACAATCACTTTCTCTCAAATTCTTTGCAAAACTCCAAACGCTCAGGTTATCAATCTGGATGGTGCCGATTCCCGTAGTCCGACGCCCGATCGTGACCGTTACAAGCGCAGCCGACGCAGCAGCCGCAGTAGATCGCCCCGTAGTCGTGGCGGCGGCGGTGGTGGGGGTGGTGGTGGCAATGGAAACGATCGTGATCGGGGAAGTCGCCGTCGCAGCTCACGTTCGCGCAGCCGTTCGCCACGTTCCAGCCGCAGGCGCGGATCGCGCGATCGTGACCGCATGGAGCGCAGCACGCGCGACAAGGAGCGGGATCGCGAACATGAACGTGAGCGACGCAAGAAGGGCCTGCCCGAGATTAAGAAGGAGCATCTAAGTGGTAATTATTCCATGCACATAAGCATAGCGTAACGCCGTTACGCAGTTACGCATCACGTAAGCCCACTCACGCAATACGTAATTGTCGCATGCAAAAGATTTTCACGCACTCAAGATGAAGAAGAATGACAAAACCTTTTGATGCCACATTTACCTGTGAATTACACTTTGTTTTGGTTCACTCTCGTTTGGTCTTTTCAATTAATGCTAATACACAAATGTTTCTTTATTCTGCAGCTCCTTGGCTCGGTTGACGTGTGTGTGTATGAGTGCGCGCGTGTGTGTTTGTGTGTGTGTGTATGTGTGATTTAGCTTTAAAGGTTCTAAATCTCATCTGGCATATTTAACACAATGTCTCTGAAGCGTTTTTGAGCAAAGTTTTTTAGCAACGAAATGAATTGAATAAGCATATTAATGTACCTCCCCATTTTTATCAGTGTATCATCTAAGCACAGAGCAAATTTACTACACTTAAGGCTCCCTAAGGAGCGATATGTCTATTGAAATAATTTTTGCTTGATATTTTATTGCATACATGTGAAAAACTAAAGCTACACCTACACGCCCAGAGCTATATTTTACATACATGCACATACATATATATACACATTCTATATGCAGTGAATTAGGTTCACAATTAATTTGAAAAATATCGATACCCGATTGAAGTCGATAGAAACTGTAATATTAAAGCTTAACAGTCATTTATCGAATTGAAACATCGGCAAATAAGTGAGGCGCTCTTCTGCCAAAATTTAGTTTGTTAAAAGAAAGTGTTTATAAAATTGAATAATATTACAAATTAGTCAGATATCTCTATAAGAAGCTTTTCCCAATGAATTATTATACATAATTAATAATACAAATGCTCAGACTTGTACTCTAGATATTCATTACATACGTACTAATTTTCAGGGATATGATTTTGACTGAGCCTTTCTTCGTCTTCTTCTAGAAGTTTTTACCTTTATAGACAATATTACTAATAGGAGAATTTAAAAATCCATTGAAATTTCAGTTATAAAAGCATTTTGTGTATCGAGGTTTCTATTCTAATGATAACAATGTACTTTGAAAAGTACCAAGTAAATATTGTAAATATTGTATATTAATTATATTCAGAATTCTTAATTATATTTGGAAAGCTTCTAATAAAATTTGAGCTTCAAATAAATTTTTTTACTAGATAGTATAAAAGCCAAGTAAATCAATTGTGAAGCATAAATATATATGTCAAAGGGTCTAGTATTCACTCTATTAATTATATGAAATATTCTTATTAGATGTAGAATATATCAGTTAAATGAAATTTACATTTTAACAATATATCTATATTCAACTAGTTCGAGTATTAAGATACTCTACGATATGTTAGAATTGTAATAGGCATATGCTTCTATGCATATTCTATTGACTCATGTGAGATATAGCCATATCTGATAGCTGACGCAAGGAAAAGAAAATGACAAAAACTAAAAACCAAACGAGTTGTGTTTTATATTAAACTTTATTGAATTAATTTATCCTTAATAATATTTATTTAATTAATATTTCTTTATTACATTTATCTCTGCAGTGTGCAGTACCACGCTGTGGGTGGGCCATCTCTCCAAGCTGGTGTACCAGGAGGAGCTCTCGGATACTTTTGGCGAATATGGCGATATCGTGAGCATCGATCAGATTGTGCCCAGAGGTTGTGCTTTCATTGTGATGAATCGTCGCCAAGACGCACACAAGGCTATGCAGGCGCTTAAGAATCACAAGCTTCAAGGTCGTGCCATTACCATATCTTGGGCAGCTGGGAAGGGTGTGAAGAGCAAGGAATGGAAGGATTTCTGGGATCTTGATCTCGGCGTCACATATGTGCCGTGGAACAAGCTGAGCCCCGACACGGACTTCGACAGTCTCGAGGAGGGCGGCATGTTCGACGAGGACACCATGCCCAGCTGGATGAAGCAAAAAATCAATCAGGCGAAAAATGTCAAGGATGTCAAGCCGACAGCCCTAACCGGCGAAATGCCCAATGTGCCGTCTGTGGCGCCGCCAAACTTGCTCTTTGGCATTGACACCACACAGCCACCGCCAGTGGCTCCGCCACAGCATGGCGGACCTGGTGCACCTCCGCCCGCACTGATGGGTATGGTGCCTGGCCAGTTCCAGATGGCGCCTCCATTGGGCGCACCACCGCCGCAGCGCATGCTGGGTCCCATGGGACCGCTGAACCATCCGTTGGGCATGGCTATGCCTCCGAATATGGTGCCCGGCATGCCGCCGCCAATGATGATGCCGCCTAATATGATGCCACCCGGTTTTCCGACCATGGGCGGCCCACCTCCACATCCTATGGGACTGCCGCCGGGCGCACAGTTCCCCCCGCCGGGAGCAGTGCCGCCGCCCATGACCACAATTCCAGCACCCGCGGGCTCTGGCACTGGCAATGTGAGCGACGACCAAATGGATATCGAAATGGAGCTTGAGGATGCACCATCGCAATCGGCACCTACGTCCTCACAACAGCAAGCACCTAACTTCAGCCAGCCGCCGCCGATCTTTGCAGGTGGCGCCACGCAACCGAACAGTGTGGATGTGGCTGCAGCGGTTGCTGGCAATGATCTGTTCCAAAGGGATCGCGCACGTGGTCCTAGCGGCGCAGGTTCTCGCTGGGGCGGCCGCGACGACATTGCTGAGGCTTCGGAGCGCTGGAGGAATGAGAACGGAGGCGGTGGACCGCCGCCGCTAAGCGGAGCCTTCAACGAGGCACGAGCGCGTCTCAATCTCAATAGCATGGAACATGGTGGAATGCAACGTCCAGAATTCTTGGGTGGCTTGGGTAAGTCGCAAGCAAAGTAAATGCCATATTCATAATTTAATTTATGATGTTTCCATTTAGAATTTGATAATCGTCCAGGCGGTGGACCGCGTGGTATGGGTCCAGGCCCCAGGGGTGGCAATCATAATGGCGGCAATGGCGGAGGTGACTTCTTCCAGCCCAATATGAATCCCAATCAGAATCGTTTCAATCAGCCAACGAGTCTGATGCAGATGCGCATACCGCCGCCGGTGGCGTTTAATCAGCGCATGGGAGGACCGGGTGCAGGCAATGGAGTGGGCCCCATGTTTATGCGTAATCAAGGTGGCGGTGGACCAGGCGGCAGGCAGCAAGGACCAGGTAAGAACTATAAAGCTCAAAAATTAAATAACAACTAATGCATTCTCTATTTAAAGGTTTCTTCAATCCGCGCAATCCGTTTAACGATAACCAACGTGGTCGTGGTGGTGGCGGAGGTGGTGGCGGCAGCGGTGGTAGTGGTGGTGGTCGTGGCATGGGCGGTGGCGGAGGTCGCGGTGGCCGATGGAGTGATGAGGAGGAAGACGGCGGCAGCAATAGCAACAACTTCAAACGGCGTGGAGGCGGTGGCCCAGGTGGCCCGGGCAATCGATTCCGTGGCGAACGCGATGGCGATGATAGACGCGGCGGCAATGGACGTAGTGGACGTGGTAGCCAGCGCAGCGAAGAGCGTGAACGTGGACCCAATAATAATAACAGACGTGGCTCACGCGACGACAGTAATCGCCACTCGATAAGCTCCACGGATGAGAACGCATTGCAGGGCAAACAGTCTTCGTCGGAGCCGGATGATATGAAGAATAAGCCGGTGGCAGCGCCATCCGTGAACAATGTAGAAAAATCAGCTGCTGTAGATACCGAGGAGGACTGGGATAGAGAGCTGCAGGAGTATGATGCTAGAATGGAAGCGCAACAAGCAGCTGAAGCTGCAGAAGCCACCGCTGCCGCCTCTGGCGCTGGTACTTCTACTGCCACAGATACCTCTGATATTAATAAACAGAAATCGGAGACGCTGGCCGAAGCGGCACCTGCGTCAGTAGTAGAGACGTTTGCCACCCCGCATGCGGAAGAAATCAGCGAGGTGTCCAAGCCCAAGGCACCATCGCCTGTCTGCACGCCTCTCTATGACGAGTTGCCGCCACCAGCATCAGCAGCTGGAGCAACGGCACCGCCACAGCCAGTTGAGCAGGCCGAAGAGCCAAATCCAAAGATCGAACAGAAGCGTGTGACTGAGGAATTTACGCATGAGCCCGAGCCTGAGTCTGCGCCTGCAACAGTGCAACAGCCACAACAACGCGTTGATTCCCCACCCAGAGCAGAGCAGTCACCGCCAGCCTCAGCAGCCCCAGCAACAACAACAACAACAACAACAACAACAGATGCAACGAAAGATATAGCGGAGGAAACTGAGCCAGTTGCCAGTGCCCAGCCAGCAGTTGAGGCAGACTCATAGAATGCCGAGGATAACGAGGAATAACAGAAAAGGACAACAAAGATAGAAGGAACGGAAGAAATGTGTATTTTATGATTTCCTTACATATGATTCATGTATGTATGCATGTCACACAGCATACATATGTATATGCCCCCTTTTAATAATATTAAAATTTTAGCTTTTGAGATTACGCATTTGTTGAGACGCGACAAAGGTCTGCACTATTCTTGCTAGGCTAAGGCACTTTATTTGTATAATTTTTAAACGATTCACATATTATTTAAGGCTTTGGTGCCGCAATAACATAAAAACCAACAAATTGTAGGGTCCTCTGACATCGGACGCTAATAATTCCCCTCCTTCAAATAAGAATATTGTATGTAAAACAACAAGAAATGATAACCCAAACTCCAGAAAACATCAACAGTTAAAAGGCGCAAAAAAGGAACAAATTGTAGCAAATAATTAGAGAATAATATGATATAATATGGACGAAATTAATAGACAGAGGAGAAAACAGCCACGCTTGAGAAATGTTTATAATTTTGTTATGTATATAATTTTAAGATGGTATTTAACACAAACTGTTTCTTATGCGCAGGTTATAAGTACACGTATAATAATGTACAATTTAAATATGAAAATATTATCAATACTATTAATAATAAACAAAAACAGACAGTTGACTTATAACTAATGTGTTTTATTTCCCGATCGGCAGCATTGTAAGCGTTTTAATCAAATAAAGCAATTTGGCATATTATTCTTGCAGGAGTTGTTTTTTATATGTGATGATTATAAATATATACATATGTATGTATAGATGTACATATACATATAAAAGAAATATTTATACTTAATCTCTTTCATATATTTGTATTAGCTTAACTATTAACTTATTCATAAATTTTTTTAGCTCAATTTGTTAGTTTAAATATGTCGATAACTTGAGATTTACAACACTCAAACATCCTACAATTATCCTTTTTATTATAGCTTTTTAAAGCTTTTTCTTAGTGTACTGTAGATATCGATAGCTTCGGCTGATTCCCCTGACTGAAAAGCAATAGCTGAATAAAATTGCGCTTATTCAAACTAAGGGACTTATACAATTACGAACTAAATTATTGGAGTGTTGATAATTTATTTAAACCTCTAATAGTGGTTTATTTAATTTAAATTATAATCTTTGGATCTAGTTCGTATATACCAAATATCGTTCACTGTTAGCCAGTTCCGAAATGTTAATGTTATTAGCACTGTTAAGCAACATTTCTGTTTGGTATTTTTCATAAATAAAAAGTCTTTGCAGCTATATGTGTGTGTGCGCGTCATTTTAGAGCGTGAATTTTCGATTCGGTAAAAAAAAAACGTAAAAAAGCTAATCAATAATATTTATGAATGTTTTAAAAATTGATGAATTTAAAAAAGCACTAAAAATATATGCTCAAATTCGGTAATTAATTGTTTTAAGCTCCAAGCAACGCCGAACGACGTGCGAAAGAAAAATTTTGGTTTCTCTGTGCCAAAGAATTTACACACATGAGTGTATACGCATACACACACACGTACGTGTGCATACACAAGTATATTTATGTAGATGTGAGGCTGTTGTAAGAAATGTGCAAAATTTTATAAAACATCCAATATATAAATTGTGTTATAGTAACGGCGGAAAACGTTAGCTACTCTATTTAATTGTCGATAATACAGTGGAAGCTGCAAAAGTGAGAGAGCTGAGCGGAGCTAATATACAGTCTTGTGAAACTGTATGTTCAATACAAAAAAAAAATAAAATAAAATAAATAGAAAAGCAAAAAATAAACATGTCTATGCATGTAGAACTGTGCATGCATGTATTTATTAAAAATATAGACTTTCATACATGCATACATATGTATATAAAAGAGCGCGCGTGTATATTCAGAGTGTGAAATATGTACATTAATATGTCCGTGCATACATAGGGACCGCCGCCAACAAACCACACATACATGCGCAACACGCACACAGGCTGTTTCGATGTTTCGTGTTTCTGTTTGTGCGTGTGTGTGTGTGTGCTTGAATGTAATGCGAAAAAGCAACGTAACCGCTGACGACGTCGGCAGCTGGCTTCAGCATCTAGGAGCAGCATCCTTGTTTCTTTTCCTGTAAGCGCGCTCTCTTGTTGCTTTCAGTCTGCAGATGTGGATGTGGATGTGGATGCTGTTCGACAGCAAACCCCCAATCTCTCCCCCTACCACCATCACCACCCCAAAAACAGCAGCCATAGACTCAGTTTCAACCGCAACAGTCGCAGTCGCAGTCCACATAGTCCCCGCTGTGTATTTTGATCAACTTTTCACTTTTCGATAAGCTATTGTTGTTGCTTCGACAGTTTTTAGTGCTGTGTACATATGTATATTTAATGCAAACCATAAACAGATTACTATTATCAAATCGACACCGGTGTCAATGAAATATTATTAGTTACTCCCATACCATCTAAAATGTTGCTGAAATATACGAAAAAAAAAAAAAAAATAATAATAATAATAATAATACAAATATTTTTTCACATTCGAATACGTGGTTAAAGTTAAAGTTCTTTAACAATTGTTTGGCTGTGGCAAAGTTATTGTTGTTGTTCTTAGGTATCGCAAAACAGCTGTACATTTGAAGCCCAGACAATTTGATCGCAACAGCTTCCTCAATATATCTACGTGTGTGTGTTTGTTTGTACAATTCTAGTTTAGAGTTTAAAAGTGCAGACAAACTAAACTAAGCATTCATCTGTCAGGACTTAACAGTGAAGTAACAGTATGTTAGACATGCTCTCAGCAAAACAGACACTGCACGTGTGTGCAATAAGCATCTTACAGTTTATGATAAATGTATCGAATATTTATTAAGTGTCAAAATCAACTTTCCTTGAAAATGTAATATTACTCATTTTTAATTCGACCAAACTTATTGCCAATCGTATTCTTAATTATACATATAGGCAATTGCTTAGCTGTCTGTCAATAGGTTTACCTTTTCTAAATACATCCATAGACTCATGCAGACATACATGCATACTATGCAGGTATGTATTTTAATGTGAAGCCAGACGTCATCAGTAAGCTTAGCTTCCGTTACCGTTGTTGTGTCAGTTTCATGCTCTCGTATGATGCGCTCCACTTTTGGATGCTATTTATAAACGCTTTTATATGTATGTATGCGTGTACTCAACCCACACACTCACACAGTCAAAACACATGCGCAAGAATGGATTCTCTGCTGGGAAACAGCTTCCTTAAAATCTGCATACATAGTTCCGCTTCCGTCCAAAATGTCTGTACATGTTCACATGTATGTGTGTGTGTGTGTTTTCAGCGCAGTCGCAGTGTGGCCAGAATATAAAACGGATTGATGATGCCTGTGTGTTTGTGTAATTGCGTCTGTGTATGGGTCACACAATCATTCAACTTACCGGGCAGCATCCACATGTTGAGGCGCGTGCAGTTGCCGCTTCATTCCTTTTCTCTCCATACACATACTCACACACACATAAAACTGAATTGAACTGTAGCTCGCAGTCAAATTAAATCAGAATAAAATACACTTAGGCGAATTCACCTAAAATTGGAAATGAAGCTGCATCGTTAATGAACTCATACGCATATCAGCATGAAAATTCTTTTCTATAATCTTATCGTGGGAGACATTTTTTGGTTGCCGCCTAAGTGAACCCACTTGAAATAATGAACAGGAAGCAATTTAATTATTTTTGACTTGATACTCAGCTAAAAAAAAAAAAAACCTTTCAAAATTAAAACCAAAGCAGATAAACTAGTAACAAAATTCAGTAAAGTAAAAAAAAAAAGATTAGAATGATAATTTACAGCTATGAAGCTAGCGATGAATTTTAACGTTTCGATACACAATGATACAATTAGGGTGAACCAAATAACATCTTAAAGCAGAAATTTCGAGACTTATCTATGGTTGGTTTGTGATGAAAAATTTCGTCGCTTTTACGAGTATATTTCATTTTTAATTAGTAAATTGATTACTTTTTAAAATGTTTTGTAAAAGAAAGGCTTTTATGGGCTTAAAGGCAATTTAAAAGAAAAAGGGCCACTCAACAATTTGCTGACGTCCTAGTGTCAATGTGTGTATTTGACGATTTAATGCTGTTATTGTTTTGCTTGGCAGCTTGTTTGTATGTACGCTAATACACATGTATTGTTTATAAATTTGCATAAGCAGCAGCAGCCCATGATGACTTTTCATTTTCTTTTTTGATTTATTTTTATGATCAGTTGTTTCGCCCGTTGCGCTTTCAAGTTGAATGTCACCTGCTATGTTAAATTGGGAGGAGCCGTGCTTTAGTGTGAGGAGCAATTGTTCTGAATGCAAATACAAAGCAATAAAAATCGATATACGATTGCTAGCTTTTGCGGTTAAATTTTCACATTTATCTCTTTCACACACAGGCGATGCAGCTGATCTCTATTAGAGGAGTTCGCAATCGTGCTTCCATTTCCTCTATTATTTTGTTTTATTTTTTGATTGTTTTTAACGGCTAAATGTTAAATGCTGTAATTCGGGTATTGCTAAATGTGATTATTTTTGTATACCTAATAGGCTGACCGCATTTCAACACCAATTGCACGCCCACACTTGCACTTATGCAGCGTCAATAGCAACAAGAACAAAAACAATAATAACAATAGTACAAGCGGCCGCGGTCAACGCACAACAAAACGAAAGTGTTCTCAACAAAATAAAAATAGTTTTCGAATAAATAAATAAAAGCGCCTCATGCAAGCGTCGTTGACAGTTTTGTAGCCTAAAATGCAATGATACTATAAATGAATTAAATCGCATAGCATATACATATGTACAAACATACATAGTATGTATGTGTTGCATACATACATTTGTATGCTTAAATGAAATGAAAAACATTTTCAAGTTTTTTTATCTCCACTCTCTTGCTTATGTTTGTGTGTGTCCGTATGTGTGTATGTATTTGCAGTTAAGAACTGAAAGCCGGCTCAGCGGGAGGTAAATTTTGCGTACGCGTGAAATGTGAGGAAATGCCGCGCCGGCAGCTGCCATATCGATGTCGACAACTTCAACGCCAACAGCAGCAGAAGCAGAAGCAACCAATACTACAAGCAACAAAAAGTATCGCAACCCCCAGCAGCATAATTAAATAATTGCCAACAGATCGATCTCCATCTGATAAATTAAGTGTAAAGTGAAAGAGCGATTGAGTGAAGTGCGCCCGAACAATTAAATAATAACATTGGCAGGCAAATTCATAAAAAGAAGAAAGAAAGAATACGAAACACAATTAAACAAGTTCTTTAATCGAAATATTGCAACCAACCGAATAAGGCGATTTTCAACGTGCAGTAAAAATGAAGCGGCGCAATGCAGATTGTGGCAAATTACGTCGCCCAATGAAGCGGAACAAAATCACAGAGGGCATGTATGGCAGGTAAGTGCTCAAATACCACCAACACATCTTCTCTGTTTACGTGTGTATATTACGTATGACGTATTAGAGATGAGCGCGCTTAACGATATGTTCAAAATAATACGAATGAAGAAATGAGAATAAGAAAACAAACTTAAATACACATAGTTACATTAATATGTGTAAATATATTTATTTATTTATTTTTTTTTATAGAAAATATTTAAGCTAGCTTTAAGCTTTGAAGCCTTTTTTACATGTATATAAATCTTGTACGTGAGCATTAATATTGCTTCAATTTCAACGCATAAATTATGACATTTGAATATCGTGCTCGTGTCACGCCAACCAAACACGAAGCGTGCCCAACTCTTATATGTACATATATGTTTATATGTATATACATATGTATGTACGCATACATACATATCTATCCAGTTTATCGCGCTGATTCGCATACCGCACTGATCGCGTAATACATAATTCTAGATATGGTTGGTTCATAACAAAACTTGTATTAAGCTGCGCAACGTCAAATTAATTTATAAAAAAAGAAAATCAAATTTTTACTTTTATTATTTTGATAGAAAAATATTAAAATATTAATTGAAAATAAATTATTGCATTGGAGTTTAAGTAAAATATGATTTAATACAAATTATATTGTATTAGAAAAAAAGAAAAATCACATTCATATTCATTATTATGCGTTACGATTTAATATTGATTAATAGCTTTGATATTGATAAATTAATTACAGAGTTATTAGAGTTCACATAAAATATTATATAATGCATTTTAGCAAGCTATATTATATTAAACAGAAATAAACAAATCACATTAATTTATTTAGCATAGCTATAAAAATAAATAGAAATATTTAGTCAGGGTCGATTACTTGGCGGAAATATCAGTTTGGCTAATTATAAGAAAGAGTTCTTAACTCTGCTTCTTCTTCTTATTTGTTTAATGCTCTGCTGAATGTCTCAATGCTGACAGAGTTCAGCACTCAGAGATTGTCACGTTGTTTCTGATTTTATTACGCATTTATTTGTTTGTTTACATTTTGATTTTGAATTTTATTGTTATTTATTTTTAAATACAACGATATACATATATACATGTTTATTGTCATATGTATGTGTGTTATTTTCGAAGTGATTGAGTTAGATAATTTATTCAGCGCTTGTTTTTTGATTGTGTTTGAAAGCTATAATTGAGCATAAAATTCGAGTCCTAATCAAATTATTGATGAATCTATTAATCAAATATGGGCTAGATTTTTTTGTACATATATGCATAAAAGCTTAAGATTATAGAATCTCGTAATCATTTTAAATTTCTATTTTCATTTTTTCAGCACAACTGTTCTATACATGAAATTTCTAATACTTTGGGCCATTGTGATGGTGGCCGACTTCATGTTTATGTTCCGATTTGAATTCCTCTGGCCATTCTGGCTGCTGCTGCGCTCCGTGCATGACTCCTTTAAGTACAAGGGCTTGGTAAATACACAATAAATAGTATAATAATAAATAGTATAATATATATTTCTTATACATTTTGTGCTCCAGGCATTTTCTGTGCTATTCGTGTGCATTGCAATAACATCGGATCTGGTGTGCTTGTTCTTCATACCCGTACATTGGCTGCTCTTTGCGGCCAGCACGTACGTCTGGGTGCAGTACGTCTGGCATACAGGTGCGTCTCATCATCATCATCGTATTACTAACAATAATAATAATATTTATTTATGATCTTTTTTCGCCTTATCTAATTGCAGATAAGGGCATCTGTTTGCCAACTATTATATTGTGGATGTTGTTTGTCTACCTGGAGGTGGGCATACGATGGAAAGACAGTCGTCATATGCCACATTTGGACCTATGCCGGCCGTTCGCCGCGCACTGGTGAGTGATCACAAATGGTTTGCCATGTTCCCACTCTAGAACTTATTCCTATTCTTCTTCAGCATTGGCTATCCAGTGGTTACGCTTGGCTTTGGCTTCAAAAGCTACGTGGGCTATCGTATGCGGCAGCGGAAGCAGCGTGAGGTTGCTAAAGAGAATGAGTTCTATATGCAGCTGTTGCAGCAGGCACTGCCCGCCGAGGAGGCTACCGATGAGGCACAAATAGCGGGCGCGACAGCGGTAACTGTTGCCTCCAATGGAGCTGTGGTTGTACCCAATGGCACGGGCGGTGCGCCGGCAGCGCTCACCACATCGGCCTCGACCCAGGCCAATGGTGTTTTGGTAACTGCAACGCAAGCACAAAATCATCACGAGCATCATCACAGCGCTGGCAGTGGTGGCGGTGGCGGCGGCGGTGGAAGTGGCAGTGGCAGCGGCTCCGGCAGCAATGCTAGCAATAGCAATCATCATCATCATCACCATCACAACAACAATAATAATAATAACAACAACAGTAGCAGCAGCAGCAGCAACAATCATCACACCAAGGATAACACAACTAGCGAGAGCAGCACAGCGAGTGGGGCAACGGCATCGGCAGGAGCCGCTGCTGCTGGAGCCGCAACATCGTCCGCATCTTCGTCAGCGTCCACAAACACATCAGCCTCTGCGACAGCCAGGCAATCAAATTCAGCAGCATTAGCAGGAACAACAACAACAGGTGCTGAGCATTAACTACTAGCATTATATTATATTCAGCAAATAACATTCCCATAAAGTGTCCGACTTGCATGATAAGCTATCATGTGGTTAGAATTTTGTGTATGTAATCAGTAATTAGCGAAGCTTCGTAGTCTCCTGGCAACCACACGAAATTTGTATATATATTCATATGTATCATTGTAACCATAAGCGATAAAAATCAATCATGTTTATGTAATTATGAAACTAAATGTGTAACTATATTTGCAGCAACCGCAAATGGTCATGTTGGCGGTGGCTCACGCAATCATCGGCGTAGTATGGACAAGGACAAGCATCGCAACAAGAGCGATGCAGGCGACAATGAGCACAACAATGGCACGCGGCATGGCGGCAAAAATAGCAGCAGCAACAGCTATCAGCAAGTTGATGGCAATGCAACTACAACAAGTAATAACAGTAAGGAGAAGTCAGACTGGGATAGTGGCAATAGCAACTATCAACAACAACAACAACAACCGCAGCAACAGCAGCAGCAGCAGCAACAACAACAACAGCAACAGGGGGCAAAGGACAAACAGGGTGCATTGAACAAAAAGAAAACGCTTAATTCGAAGCAAATTGATATCGCCCCCTTGCTTGCAGACAAAAAGACGCACAATGCTGTCAGCAATGGCAATGTCCTGCAGTTCGAAACAGATGAGGCACCGATCGTGGAATCAGTGCCTCAAGTGGAGAAGGCGCCTAAAGGTAAGTGCTAAGCATTGGCTTATCCAATCTCTGATCTTGTAATCCAATATTCTTTTCGTTCCGCAGGCCGTCGAAATCGTGGTAAGAAGGATAATTCAGCCAAAGACAATCATAGCCAGCAGCTGGCGCAACAAAAGGAGGCAGCAGCAACTGCTGCACCTGCTGCCGCGGCAACTGCTGCCAGCAACAGTAACAGCAACAACAGTAACAACAACAACAACAATAACAATGATGCCAGCTCCGTTTCGTCGTCGACCAGCTCGTCGTCGAGCAATGCCGCCGCTGCCGCCATCTCGCACATTGCCAGCAAAGTTGTATCGAAGATATGCGAAACATGTATTAAGCTGGAGGCAGATGTTAAGAAATATCGTGCCGAAATTAGCCACATGAAGCAAATCGAGAACGAGCTGCGCCAGAAGCTGGACGTCAATCTGACCAGCAAATCCAGTTTGCAGGCCAAGCAGAAGGAGTGCGACGAGCTGGAGAAGCGCATACAGGAGCTGACCAATGCACGCCATGCCGACATGCTCAGTTTGCAGGCTGTGGAACGTCGCCTGAACGAGGAGCGTCGCCAAAAGCAATCTCTTGACGCCCAGCTGGCCAATGAGAAAAAGGCACGCAAAGCTGCCGAGGAGAAGGCGGCTCGGCCAGAGTGCAGCGCCCAGTGCAAGCAGCGTCGCCAGCAAATGGAGGAAGAGTTGAAACGCGTGCGCAACGAGCTCAAGCAGACCGAAGGCGCCATGCAGGTAGCCGTGGATCATGGCCGCAAATTCGAGCAGGAGGTGGGTGGAACAACAAAAACCTAATTGGTTAAATATAATAATTAAACTCTATTCTGTTAACAGTATCACATGTTGGAACTGAAGGTGCAAAATCGCGAGTCCACGCAAGCGGATGCTGAGATGCTGATGAATGCACTGGCTACCATGCAGGAGAAGAACACAACGCTGGAGAAGAATCTATCCGCAGAGACGAGAGTTAAGCTGGACTTGTTCTCGGCTCTGGGCGTGGCAAAGCGACGGCTAGAAATAGCTGACAGTATGTATAGCTAGGGGAATGGCAGTGGAATGCAAATGTGTAACGAACAAACTGTTTTGGCTTGCAGGTCAACGTCGGTCCAAGGAGGATGAGGTCATTGATCTCAAGGCCAAGATAGCCCAGCTGCTGGCTGTAATGCCGGACACGCTGTGCCTAAACACGGGGCCGCATGGTAGCGGAAGCATGCTGCGCATGAACGATACACCTCCGCTACAATCGGGCGGACCGGGCCCGTCCTCGCCCATGCTCAGCCTGGGCGTCGCGCAAGATTATCAACAGCATCAGCATCAGCAACATCAACAGCACCAGCAGCATCAGCAGCTACAGCAGCAGCACCAACAACACCAGCAACAGCAGCATCAACAGCACCAGCAGCACCAACAGCAGCAGCATCAACTCCAGCAACAGCAACAGGTTGTGCCCGTCTCACAGCAGCAGCAGCAACAGCAAATGGTTCCCGTCAGTGTGGCTGCAGCGCTGCATGTGGTGGCCGGCAATGTGGTCAACGGTGGTGGTGGCGGCGGTGGTCTCTCGACGCTGGATCCAAATGCCAGCGTCTATACGCCCAAAACCGGTAACATGATGGTGGTGCCGCCGGTGAATATGAATCCCAATGGTGCGGATGCCTGACGCCAGCAGCATCAACAGCACCAGCAGCACTCATCGACGTTATCGTCGGTGAGTGCATCATCCTCGCATCAGCTACTGAGACGACAAGTATGAGATTATTATAATTTATATGAAACGTAACTGCAAACAGCATCAACATCAGCATCTGCATCAGCATCAGCAACGGCATACGATAGATTTGGACTAGAGTAGTCGATAGATGACAAACGGCAAGTGGCAAATGGTAGGCAGTTTGCATATGATATAATGAATGTCCGTACTCTAAGCATAAGCAGTTTCCTTTAACGAACCCCCCACACAACTACAACAGTATCACAACTCAATGTACACCCCATTATCAATTATCAATTATCAATTTCCATAACTCAGAATTGTAGCCAAGATACATTTCGCAACGGCAGCTAGTTGATTGTTTTCTAAATTCCATGAATATTACCCAATTATATATGCTTTTATTTTTTGACCCATCTCAAATTGACCTCAAATGTCATACAACTTAATTAAACTAGAATCCAAATATTTTTGGGATATATTTAAAACGAAATGAAATGGAAATTGTATTCCTAATGTTCGCAACCAGTTCCAGTTGTCAACTACCTTATTTAATCCACCCAAACTTCGCTCATGGAAAAACATTAACACAACACTCATTCACTCATACTCATTCATTCATTTACACTCATTTGGCAGACTCGTTGCGCGAGTTCTTGATTGATTTAAACACATTTAAGAAATAAGATGAGTAAACGCAAAAGATAAAGAAACACTAAAAATGAAAATATTAATTTGTAATTGAAAATGCGAACGAATAGATAGAAATGAAGAAAAGAAAGATCTGTTTACTACTTACTTTACGAAACGCTGTGAGAGTTTGACCAACTTTTAGTGATGGCTTTTGGAATTTGGCGTGAATTATGCTTTTTAGCCAAATTGTATGCCCTCTTTCAATGGAATTTTTGAAGTCTGCGCCCTTGATTTATTATCTCATTAAATTATTTTTGTTATAAACTTTAATTGTACGCCTATTATGTAGAATTTAACTATTTTGAAAAACAAAACAAACAAAATACCAACAAATTTCTTTTTAAGTTTTAATTTATTTGTTGCTCTTCCTAAAAGAAAAAGAAAAAACATAACAAAACAAAAAAAAAAAAACAAACAAACAAATAAAAAAGCAAGTTGAAAATGCTTGAATTTAAATGCGAAGAAAACGAAAAACGAGAACTATTTTGTTTAATAATAATAATAAAAAAAAAAAAAAAAAAAAAAAAAAACATATAATGCTTGAAGCTAGTAAATATTTGTTTTTAATTTATGTTAGCTTTTTAGTTGATTTATAATTTCTCTATTTTTAAGTTCTCAATATATATGTATATATTTCTATTAACTGAGTAGCCCGCCGTGGATTAGCCTAAAAGTCAGTGTCAAGCCAAAGCAACTCCAGTCTAAAGTCAGACTAACGAGTCCAGTTTCCATATTCAAAATGTTATACTATATGCTGCAGGCGGTTTCAACGGCCATTTTTGCCACATTTGCCACGCTATGGCTGATCGAAGGTAAGTAAGGCTTTGACCCAGCCCTCTCCAACTTGATGGTCCATTCCGCAGAGAGTCTGATCAACCTGATGATGTCCACGTTTCTGTTGGTGCTGCGCGTTGCCTGTCATCCGCTGATGGTGTTGCCCACAATCTTCGGAGTCTACTATCTGATACGCAAGGTGTGGCTGCGACGCCGCCAGCTGGGCGATGGTGAGGCAATCCAATCCACGGGGCGGCGTCCCAGCTATCGCTCGCCACGAATTGGATCTTTTCGCAGCATGGGCAGCACATCGTCGCGCAGCAATGATAGCTGTGATTACGAAGACGACGAGATCCGCGGCTTGCCGAGATCGTAGCTTTGTTATAGGCTTAATTTTTGTTTGTTTCAAATTAATGAAGTGAAGTCTTTGGTTTGATTTACTAGATTTACTCTTACAAATGCATACACAAACTACACTGACGCGAACGAACATATTTATATGTATGTGTATAAAATTGTACTTAAAACTAATACAGAGGCCTCCCCGCCTAGCTGAGTCCCTCCCCGATTCGTTGATGTTTTCATGGTTTCTGTAGGGATGACGTATCCATTTTGCACAATAGATCCGCCACCTTCAGCAGCATGGCATTGTTCTGCTGGTCGGAGGCAGTTGAGCTGCTGCTGATCATTTCGGCCAGGTGATGTATGTACTTATCCACGCTGTCCACGTTCAGTCCGCCGGGATGCACGGCTGGCAGCGTAACGCCACTCAGCGTCGCGACTAGTTTCTGCCGCAGATTCTTTGTATATGTAGCGAGACGTGCATTCTCCTCCTTTAGCTCAGACACTTCGGCCATGATTTTCGCATGCCCGGCCTTTGTGTTATCCACATGCTGTTCCAGCACTGCATTCTGCTGCTCCAGATCGGTTTTGGTCTTGCGCAGGGTGCGCAGCTCATTCTCTGTGCTGCGATTGTGCTCGATGAACTCGTTCGTGTAGATGGGTATTTCGCCTGCTATGCACGGACGCTGGGCCGCAGGGGCGCAAGAGTTGAGTGCGGGCGGTGTCGGTGTACGCTTCACTTGAGCTAGCGGTATATCATCCGGGTCCGGTGTTGGTGTACTCAGCTGCTGCTGCTGCTTGTTCACTCCTGCACTGTGTTTAACAATAGTTTTCTTTGCGCCAGCAGCAGCGGTGACTGTGGCACTGCTATTGGCTGCGTCAATGCCGCTGCCGCTGCCGCTGTTGCTGTTGTTGTTAGTTGCCTTCTCCTTGGGTGTGCTGGCATTTTTGTTATCGAATACCTTCTTCGCTTTGGCCAATTCGGTTGCCACTATTTCGGGATGCTCCTTCAGGAACTTGTGCATTTGTTCCTGATATCTGAAATTTTTAAAACATTGTATGAGTGATGGATGATATACATATTGTGTGAGAATGTGTATGTATTCAAATACTCGTATTCAATTTACAATGCCTTATCCTTAGCTGCAGCCTCCAGATATGGTGCCTTTCGTTCATCCGTCAGCTGGTGCCACTCCTCACCAATCATTTTCGTGTGCTCCAAGGCGGTGCGATTTGGGTGCTCGCGACGCAGCTGTTCCCTGCGGTCATTCATGAATCTCACATACGAGTTCAGTGGCATTTTCGGTGCTCCAGCCACATTGATACGTCGTTGGGTGAGCTTCTTCAGCTCCGTGTCCAGATCGTTGCCAGTCACAGCATTTCGTGCTTTTCCTTTCTTTTTTTTTGTTACTTTGCCGGCGCCGACGACGCCGCCGCCGCCGGGTGAGATATTCAGATGGCTTTCCTCTTCCGCATTTACTGATTTGGCAGGCATTGCAGCTGCTTGCTCTTCCCCTGTTGCATCTAAGTTTTCTGCCACCTCCTGGTTTATTGCACTTTTGTTTTCTTCTTTGCTATCCATAATTTATCAATTTGCACTTATTTTTTATTCTTGTTTATATTTTATCGATAGTTACCCAATTGCAACTTTGCGCTTTGTTTACTTATGAGGTTTTTGTTTTGTGCAAGCGTTCTTCTGTAAATATTTACTTAATTTTTTTTGTTGGACAAAAATAAAAACAAATTGCAAAGTACTGAGAGATCAATTTCTGCTCTCTTAGAATATCGCATATTTTGCTGTTATACGAAAAGTGTTATACAAGAACAGCTGTTGCCTCAAAGACAGGGATGTGCTGCTTTTAATATTTGCCATTTATATGAAGAATATAAATTTAACTTTTATATGTCGTATGATCAACTATAAAATTTTAATTTAATTTATTGTAAATTGGCGTTTTAAATTCCTATGCATTTAAATACCTAGCGTTACATTTCGGATAATGGCGCACATTGGCAACTCTGTGTTGACGCACTTCTACATTTACACAGTGACGTCATCAAAATGTGGCGCGATTTTGATTATCGGCTTATGAAATAACTGCGTACTTAGGACAATAATAAACATATAAATATATATGTAAATCCGGCAGATATTACTATATAATATAATAATATGTGGGTCAAAATTATTATATAAAACCGGCAGATATTACTATATAATATAATAGTGGGTCAAAATTCCTTACATATATCTTATTCGCAGATAATTTTTAAATAAAAACTCGATATTTTCCGTGTGGTTTTTTCTATATTTTGAATATTCATATACACTTGTGGTCTGCATTGTTTTGGATAATTGTTTGAGCACGATACAATTAAAAAATATACGATATAATTAGCCTACTTGAATAACAGGTGTTAAATATAAATAGAAACTTACAAACAAGCTTAGCATTTTATCAATATCGATGATAAATTCTGTACAATTTAAGCAGCTACAACTGCGAGTGTATACTATATATATATTAAATTTGTATATATATGTATAAATATGTATAGATTACGAGCTAAAACTTAATAATGAAGGCGGCCAGCCACATATAAAATTCAACATAAATTAACAATGTTAAGAGAGATATAGGTAAAAAGAGAATTGGCTGATCGAATGGGATTTTCAATTTGAAAAATGAACAATTAAGCCTCTCATGTGAGTTGCAGTTAAATTAAACTGGGAAATAGTTCATCGAAATTACTTTCCCAGGGAAATTCCTCATCCTCGGTGTGCATCGGAATGTCACTATCCAAATGCGACAGAGTCGTCGACGCTGGGGAGCCAATCACCGACTCATAGCCATGATCCGATGTGGCCGAATGCATAGAGAGTGCAGGTGATTTGGCTAGCGGTGAGATGGCTTTGACCCGCGGACACAGGAACTGCTCAATGGGCTCAAAATTTAGATGGCTGGTCGCTTCATCGTCCGAATCATCGGTGGCGTTGATCACATTGAGGTAGACCTGTGAGGGCGACGTTGCTGGCAACGGGCACTTCATGATCGCATCTGTGGTGTTCTCATCGCCAGCAGTGACGCCCTCACCGTAGATCACCTCAACGGCCTCATTCACTGGCACTGCATCGCCGTCCATGACAATGGTGATGGAATTCGTCTTAGCATCGTATGTGCCATATACCGTATCCGGTGTGGCACTCTGCAGGAATGCAGCTGCTGAAATTGTCTTCGTTGTTGTTGGTATTGGTGTTGCTGTTGCATTCTTTTGTATGCTTCCATTTATCGTTAACACCTGCATAGGCAATCTGCTGGTGTTATTGTTGTTGTTGATTTTGTCCATGTTGTGGGTGCTCGTAACGGGTTGCGCTTTGGTATGATCATTTAGGCCATCAGCTCTATGCCCGCCGGATTCCATGCACTCTGCTGCGGTCCCCACCACTGATCCAGGCAATCGCTCTGAGTCGCCTGCATCTTTGGCAGCAGCTTGGTGGCATGTGCCACCGCCTGCTTCCAGGTCTGCTGTGATATCTGCGAGGAGACTCTCGGCCAGCTCTTCAAGTCGTCGCGCATCGAACTCTTCGTCGTCGACGAGCAGCATGTCTTGTATAGAAGGCAGAGCGCCACAATTCTCCAAAGTGAGGCCGTTGTGTTGCTCTGCTTCAGCTGCTGTTGCAACATTCGTGATGTCATCAAGGCACGCGCTGACGACTGTGTGTCCACTTGTGTACCCTGCTGCAGAGGGTCAGCATTGGATGCTGCAGATCCAGTGAGTGTGGGCACACAGCCCTCAGCGCTTGCATTGATGCCAGCTATGTTGCTGTGGCTGCTGTTGTTGTTGTTGTTATTATAATTTTTGGCATGCTGCTTCATTTCGGCAAGTTCTTGACGCAACTCTTCCATTTCCGCGTCGAGCTTCTGATTCTTGGCCATCAGCGATTCGTTGATACTCTGTAGGCTCTCGCATTTGTTTTGCAATATTTCCGTTTTCTCAGTAAGTTCCTTGATTTCGAATTCCATTTCCTCCATGCGCGCCTTTTTCCTGTCGCGGCTGGTTTGCGCAGCTACGCGATTCTTTAGTTTCCTATAAGGTAGATGACAATTGAGTGAAAGTTTCTTTAATTGATATTTATTTCTGTTTAACTTACTTTCTCTGCACCTTCTCCTCCCATGACAAATGATCTAGACGGCGCTTTTTGGCCTTTGTCGGCC